CTTAATAACTTTTACTAGATAATGATGAGTAGATATTACTTGAATTTGTAGCATTTCAATTTACTTAAACGTTAGTGCAAATTGTTACGGGAGTTTTTTCTAATAAATCTCACAAGTTCTTTATAACAGTGCACATGCATCAAGCACAATATTGTAGCATGACACGTCACAGCTACAAAGTGAGTTGTAGCTCATGCTGTAGTTCAAGACTTCACCACCAGGTGGTGGTTTAGAAGAATCTTTATTGGATTCTTCTTCATGAACAACACAGGAAGTGAAACTCACAGGTCTTATTAAGGACTAGGCCTACCACTCTCACTTATGGTTGCTTCTGCTGAACGGTTTAACACAAGTTAACAAATAATGAACACACAAATTAGAGGAACACAACGGACTAATTGCTGAAAGAACAATGTTAACCAATTCCCTAAAATGATTTAACAACAACAAACATGAATCCTACCCACAATCCTCCACTGCAGTCACATGACAAACAGCCAAACACAGCAGAATGCTACAATATGCATTCCCTGTCCCCTGACAACTAAATATCACCTACATTATGCCATCAAACTATTGCACATAAACAAATGTAATCAAGCAAAAGAAACCAGACAACTTATGTTTTATTTCGACCATGTCTTGTCCTCTCCTTAAAAAGTGAAGCAAGGGAATGAGGAGCAGCAGCCTTTGTGTGCACATGCGCCCTCAGTTTTAGCTCAGAAGAGTAGAAGTTTTTTAATATAATCATGTTTATGTGCTGTCCAGAAAAAGCACTTAAATATTACTGGTAAAATACCATTAGCATTTACTTTTTTGTACAGTAATATCGATATATAATATAATGTGTATTGTTTATTTAGTAAATTCTGTAGTTTAGAGATTTTGCAATTTTTTTGTAAAATTTAAAAGAATAATTAAATAAATGTTACTACACCCAAAAATCATTTTTTTCAGTGCAGTCARGTTTTGAAATATTTAACTTATTCACATATCTACACTACAAGTCAAATGTTTTAGAACACCCTCATTTTCCAWGTTTTTTATTTGGTATGAAGGCAGCTCAAGTCAAATGAACAGCTTGAAAGGGCATAAAGGTAAGTGTTGAACTGCCAGAGGTTTAAAAAAAATATAAAGTTACCCAAAAAAAAGTCCCTTTGAGTCCACAGCGTGTGTGATTGATGGCTCATAGACCCTCAGCTTCTCACAGCTTAATAGTGGTCGTAGAAGGCAAGTCTGGTTTAACCGTGAAGAGAAGACTTGGAGTTGCTGGTTGACAGGTCGTATCACAGCAAGAAAACCATTTCTAAGAGTTCAGAATAAGAAAAGGAGGCTTGCCTGGACCATGAAGCTCCACCAGTGGACCAATAAAGACTGGAAGAAGGTGTTGGCTGATAAATWCAAAGCTGCAGTTCATCAGCAGGACTACAGTTTCTCAGTRAGTGACAACTTTTAAACACAGAGGMAGAAGTGTGATGATCTGGGGCTGTCTTGSTGGGTCTGCCACACCTCTTCCTGTCAGAGTCTCCAMCAGTTTCTGACTGCRTTGTGATGGTGAAGGAAACTGGACTCACCAACGCCTTGACTTGCAGTTTTGGGTCACCTTAYATTTTTTTAAACCTTTGGCAGTTGTGCACTTACCATACTTACCAGTACTCTCTCAAGCTGTTTATTGGACTTCAGCTGCTTGAATTTCAAAAAGAAGAAAAAATAATAATAAAAAAACTAAAAAATGATTGTTTTTAAACTTTTGACCAGTAGTCCTACTGTAAAGATAACCCCTCATCTAAAAAGTCATTTGGTTGCAAATGTATATTTTCATGTAAAATAAAAACCACAGACCGTTTCATAACCAAACATCTATCATTGATGGTAAATTAGAATCACGATTGTTTTAAAGGTCTATAAAACTGGATTTATTTTCTTGAACATGAGCTTTTTTATTGTCCTACTTTATTCTAGTTTCACCATCAATCTTTAACCAAATTGCTAAWTTGTGTTGATTCATTGATTTTCATCTTTAAAGAACTCGTGTGTAAATGCGATATAATTGCAGAGTTCAAGTTTTAGCAACAATAAACAAATAAATAACTCTTCTGACCTCTGCAGCCACTCGTTACCCAGGAGGCCGTTGGTGTCCGCAGAATCAGTTCCAGTGCTCGAACCGGCTGTGTGTGAGCCAGAGCTGGGTGTGCGATGGTGTTGACGACTGCGGGGATCGCTCAGATGAACAACTCAGTCTATGCTGTGAGGGGGGAAAATTCTTGTTTATGAATGTTTTTGACAGCCCTTTTTCGTTTTCTCAGTTTTTTTACTGTGTTGTTTCTGTGCAAAACAAACCAAAAATGGACTTTGCATTTGTGGTGTTTAACAGTGAGCATCACCTGTGAGATGCCGTACAAGTTCCGCTGTGCTAACGGCTACTGCGTCTTCTCTGGCCTGCTGTGTAATAAAAAAGATGACTGTGGCGACGGCAGCGATGAGAAAGAAGATCTCTGTATGTCTCCCACCCCTACATCCCACATTTATATACTGAAACAATACGGAATAATCATACCTAACAGAAAACTCAAAAGCATGACACACCCGGAAACAAGCAGGAAAAAAGTGAACAAYAGTGCAGAGATAAACACTGTGCTTCTACTAACAGTAAATCCGGTTAAGTGCACTGCCCTGTTCTTTATTTTTTTTCTCTCTCTCCCCCTTGTTTTAAATGCAGCCATAACCAGATTTGTAATAAGTTGCAGGGATTGCCAGGCATTAGTCCAAACCCCTTTAATGCTTTAAACTTTCCTCTCTGAGGTCAGTGAAATGGGAAATTCCTACATGACTTCAGCGGCGGGGCAGGTCACAAAGCCTCAAACATTCAGCGGATAAGAAAAGAGTTCATTTTATGGAGATATTACACAATCAGCTTAAACATCAATCAAATTAATCTAAGAGAAAATTAAATAGTTAAATGCACAGAGTTCATGTATTTGTTTTTAGGCTGAAGATGGTTAACACACCATATACGCCATACACCATAACACACGGTATGCCTCGTGTTATRGTAAAACTCACAGATTATGTGTTTAAATTAGTGGTATTTGTCTTTTTATAGTGTCTTTTTGACCATCCTTTACAGGCCGCGAGCCCACCCTACCCCCCTGCACACTGGAAGAGTTTAAATGTACCAACGGGCACTGCGTACCCCTGCCGTACGTCTGTGACCACAATGACAACTGTGGCGACCGAACAGATGAAATGGGCTGCAGTAAGTAAAACCCTTAAACCAGGGCTGTTCAGCTAAATTGCTCAGGGGGCCACCATTACTCAAAGCCAACAGCACAAGGGCCAGACATCCCCATGGTTAGGGGGTAGCTCATCAATAGCATGAAACACTGCTAAATCATTCACAATTTTTTGAAATTAGTTTTACATTAAATTAAGTTTAAAAAAAAATCCCCCCAGTTTTTTTTTCAATAATGTTATTTCTACTCATTGATCAGCCGGAAGTGACCTACGGGCCAAAGATGGCCCATGGACTGCCAGTTCAATAGCCCTGCCTTAAACTCCCAAAAAGTCTTTTTGTTTGATTTTATTTTTTTTAAATGACAGGACAGAAATGTGTGCTTCCAGATTTTGGAGAATAACTTTGTTTAGTGTTTCTACTTTCAGCGTTTTAAATGTGTTGCTTGTTTCTAGACTTTGGCCATGATCGAAACTGTGAAACTGACAAGCTTTGCCAACAAGAATGCACCAATCTGAACGGAACCGGCTTCATTTGCTCCTGCAAGCCTGGATACAAAGTGGACCCAGACAGCACTTACACCTGCCTGGGTACACACACACACAGATCCAGCTCATGAACCATTCAATAGAATGAAGAAACATACAAACATGACGATATTTTTACTTTTTACCACCTGTTTTGGCGCCTATCACTTATCTCTTTTAGACATCAACGAGTGTGAGGAGTACGGAATCTGTCCTCAGGCCTGTAAAAACACCAAAGGCGGCTACGACTGTGACTGTGCACTTGGATACAGGAAAGTAGGAAATGGCGACATGTGTGAGGCTGATGGTGAGAACGTCATATTTTCTCTTGATGGCTTACTAAATTCATTTTTTAAGTCATTTGTTGCATTGAAAAGAAAATCAGCATGAAACGCAGCACTCAAAATCTTAAATCTTATTTCCGAGTAGCCTGTGCTGCATTGTTTATTAGTTATTCTGTTGGGTCAAGAGTCTATTTAAAAGTGTTTGTTTTCCACTGCAGGAGSGGCTCCTCTGCTGCTGCTGCCAGAGAGTGTCCGGATCCGTAGGTTCAACCTGCAGACACAAACCTACCATGACTTTCTCCAAGAGGAGGAGCGGATCATGGCACTGGACTATGACTGGGACCACAACAGCACAGGATTCAGTAAGATGCACAAATCAGAACTCCAGTAAAGTCAGATTAGTTTGGACAGATTACATCATACCTTACATTGTGTGGATTTCTTTTCCCCTCCACAGGTATGGTGTACTTCACTGTTGCTGGTAAAGACTCTATCCCAGGTGCCATTAAGAGAGCGTATTTACCGTCAGTGGATGATGGCAGTAACAACATTGCTGCTGCTGTTGATCTTGGCATCAAATACATCACGTCACCAAATGGCATTGCTGTGGACTGGGTGGGCAGGTAAGTTTGTCCGTTAGCATTCTCCTGTTCTGTGAATAAATGTTGTATATAATGGAAAAACTTCACTTGTTAGTTTGGATGTGTTTTAAAGTATCATTTTTAAATGTTGTTCAACATTGTAAGACCYGTTGGTGCTTGAAGTGTGTGTTGGAAATGGCACGCAACTACAACCATGYCCAATTGTAGCCCAATAMAYGTTACAGCCGTTTTYGTGGAGGCCATCTTGAATTGTGTCCAGTCCAAAGGTTRACAAGTTGTAGATGTACATCTGAAAGTTTCMATGAAATCTATGCGATGTTTCATGAGATATTTTGCTAACACAAAGAATATAAGTTGCACAGACACAGGCAAAAACATTGCCCTTTCATTTTTAGCAGCAAGCAATAAATGCAGCAGTCTTATCAGCTGCGAAAACACCGCCGTTTTTCATTTTTTTTATATAAAAAGTTGAATTTGGTAGTAAATGATGTTGCTTTTTTCCTGCAGAAACCTTTACTGGGCAGACTCCAAGCTGAAGAGGTTAGAAGTGGCCTTTTTGGACGGACGCTACAGGAAACATCTTGTTAAGACTGATCTTGGTTTCCCATCTGCTGTGGCGGTGAATCCTCGACTGGGGTGAGGCAAATCATTTTTCYTCACCTTCAGAGAACAAACTGATGACTTAAAGGAGTTTTATTTGTTCTTTATGTGTTTGCTGCCAAAGTTATATTTCCCCTGCATTATTAGCAGGTCAGTGATGCAACAAGTGTGTCCAATAAGTGTTAAATTAAAGTTATTGTAGCATTCTACCAGAAGATACTGTACTTTAACCACTATTTTGGAATCTGATTTTTAATTTCTGCTCATCATCCGCAGTATGCTGTACTGGTCCGACCGAGGGGAATCGGCTAAGATTGAGTGCTCCTGGCTGGACGGACAGCAGAGAAAAGTTCTTGTGGCCGACGGTTTGGGTTGGCCCACCGGCTTATCAATTGATTTCACCAACAGAGACAGAATCTACTGGTCAGACTCTAAGGAAAGTCGCATCGAGTCTGTTCTGCCTTCAGGAGAGCAGCGTAGAACTGCTGTTTTTATAGGTGAGGAATATAAAGAAACAGTTAAAGTTGTACCTATACGTGATTTGCTTGGAAATTATGTTTATGTGTGATCATAGTTCCTGATATTGACGCAGTAACTGTTCATACARTTAGGACTGACTTYATTTTCACGATTGGGGTTTATTTATTCCWTTTCATGTAGACGTGAGAAACCCGTTCAGTGTGAGCGTATTTGAGGACCACGTCTACTGGAGCACTGAGGAGAAAGGCGAGGTGTATCGACAGGACAAGTTTGGTCGTGGAGCCAAAGTCAAAGTGCTGACAGCGGGACCCTGGCTGAATCAGATCTCTGTGTACCAACAGCAAAGATACAACTCCTTTGCCAGTAAGAGTCACGCTCATGTTTGCAAATACAAAAGTATGTGCTAAACTGTTGACAGTAATGTGCAGAAAAAAATAAATCTTTAAGTCATGCTGTTATATTTAAAGGGATCCCCCATTAGTTGTAACATTAGACTTATTTAATAGACATATATTTTAACTGTAAAATAAAGACTGTAAAAATACTGTAGGATGTTTAGTTTTTATAATTTTTAAACTAAAGGTTTAAAAATATATTACATGGAAGGGGCCATTTTATTTACACACAAAGCATTCTGGGTAAATGATGACGTGGATAGGTCCTCGATGCGAGGCTGCCGGCGAGCTATATCCACCCTGAAGGTTAATCTTGGACAAAATCTGACGATTGGCTCTTTTAAATGAAACCAGAGAGCGTTGACAGAGAGGAGAAGGTAGAAATGAYTCAGYCTGTAAMTGAAAATATRGATGGAGGACAACAGAGCTGCTTCATGGAAGAAGAACCTCAGCTTAGCCTGTTAGCTTCAGCGTTAGCCCCGACGCTATMTATATGTATTAGCTCAGTGCTACACATTCTCCTCTCGTCACTGAGGTCCTCYATMCACATGACAGAGAGGAGAACGCAAAAATGACTCAGTCTGCAACTGAAAATATGGATAGAGGACCTCAGTTTAGCTTGTTTGTCGCGCTAGCGCCGAGCTAATACATATAAGGCAATATAGCATCTGCGCTAGCGCAAAGGCTAACAGGCTAAGCTGAGGTTCTTCTTCCATGAAGCAGCTCTGTTGTCCTCCATCCATATTTTCAGTTACAGCTGAGTCATTTCTACTTTCTCCTCTCTGTCAACGCTCTCTGGTTTCATTTAAAAGAGTTGATCGTTAGATGTTGTCCAAGATTTAACCTTCAGGGTGGATATAGCTCGCACGAGGACCTCCACGTCATCATTTACCCAGAATGCTTAGTGTATAAATAAAATGGCTCTGTCCGTGTCAAAATATATTTTTAAAAATTTACAAAACTAAACAGCCTACACAGTATTTTACAGTCTTTATTTAACAGTTAAAATATATGTTTATCAAATAAAGTCTAATGTTACAACTAATCATGGATCCCTTTAAAGCAGAGATGCCTTAAGACGTTCAAATATTGATTTTTTTAATATTTATGTTTGCAGTGAAGAATCCATGTAAGGGAACCTGTAGCCACTTGTGTTTGCTCCGGCCGGGAGGATACACCTGCGCCTGCCCTGAAGGCACCAGCTTCATCACCGGCAGCAACACTGAATGTGATGCAGGTAAAAAAACAAAGAGGAGCTCCTTCTTTTGTGTGTGCTATAAAAGCAAGAGGATCTGTGACCTTTCCAGCAGCCAAACTGAAAAAAGTTGAATTTTCTCATTTTCCCACATTATCTGAAGCACAACTAATGACTCCGTGGAGACGTCAGTATGATTACACAGAATCCAGAGGCGTGCTGGTGGAGTTTTAATACTTCAAAGATGAAGCATYGCAGAAAAGACTTAAACGTCAACCTTCTAAACAGTAATGCCGGCTTTTCTACACAGATGCAAAAATCCCCCTGTGCTTTTCTGACCCTTCAGGGTTCGAGCCACCACCCACCATGCCACCGCCATGTCAGTGTCAACATGGAGGCACGTGTTATTTTGATGACAACAAGGCTCTCTGCATGTAAGAACTCCTTTCCATCTGTAGATATGTGCTTGTATTAATTAACGGGGATGTGAATGCTGTGTGAAATTAAAAATTATGAGAGTTATAATTTTTTTCTTCTTGTTCCATAGATGTCCTTCAGACTGGAGTGGAGAATTCTGCCAGACCAACAGCTTCGTTGTGGTCGCTTCCTCAGGTGTGTTTGATTTCATTTCCAAATATTCCTACATACATTTAAATTACACTTTTACTAACCACGCTCTTTTGTGCAACTCTGTTTGATTTTATTTTGCTTTATCAGTTGGAATAGCTGTCGGGGTGACAGTGGTGATTGTGGCCCTGCTGGTTGCTCTGGTATTTTACGTCAGGAAGAAGTCCAACGTGCTGCAACGACTGCAGAGCAGCATGCCCAGTTTTTCAAGCCTCAGGTGCGACATTATTGGTCTTCATTACCATTAGTGTTTAATTCAAATTGGCAAATCTACTTTTTATAAACCTTCATGAGTAGTACAACAAAAATAACCAGAAGTATTCCATTCTATTATGTGCGCAAATGTTAACATTCTGTTTCTTTTCCATTTACTTTTTATTAATTCAGTATTTTAATTACATCATTTAACATATTTTGATTTGTTTGTAGGAATGGTTTCAGCAGAACTGATAGAGCAACGGCAGAAAATGATTTAACGAGGCAGAACTTAGAGGTAGTCCGTTAATATTTTCATCAACCGACAAGAAGCTATTTCCTGAGATTTCGACAGCTGATCTGCTTCCTGTTCATATAAACAGTGACTACTGTGTTTTCTACCTTGCGTCAGGTTCCCAGCGTGTCTGTATCAATGATCGACGAGGGGAGGAGCTTTGCGAACCCGACGTATGAAGGGGAACCGCAGCTKGGCTCCAAGAGCACGCCGCCCGCCATCTCTGCTCCCGCTGAAACAAACAAGGTCAGTAAAACTGGAGCGATTCTGCGCACAGCTCCACAGCAAGTCTCCTCAAAATATTTCTTTCATTTCTTTGTACAGTTTGACTGTTTTTTTTATATATTTGATCAAATAGTTAGTCCTGTTTTTGTTTTTTACTGTACAAAAAAGGCACATTTTCAATACATAGGGTTAAACATTAAAATTTTTGATATTTAACATTTGACATTTTTGATCAACTTTGTTTTATATTTTAGAACRTTAATAATCCTTTGTATATGGAGGAGGTTCAAGCTGTGGATAAGCCTTCAACAAGCAAGTCTCCCATTTTCACGGAGGTTGGTTTTAAAAGCCCTATAAATTATATATTTGTTTAAAATCTTCCTTAATCTGAAATAAATTGCATGAACTTGTTTGTGCATTTATTTTTAAGTAGTTCAATATTCTTGAATGTAATTTTTCAGGAGATTTTTGACGACCCAGCTCACAGTTCAGTTATCGAAAGTGTTGACAGTGACACCACTTCTGCACAGCCACCTGCATCAAGCTCACAGCTGATATTGGAGGTAAATTTTAAAGTGTGACACCAGGTGCCTTCAACAAGAAAATTCACAGAAGATAGATTTGACCAAGTGTTTGTAAAAAATAAAAATCTTTGCAGGAACATGAATTCAGCTTTTTTAAAGTTTTATTTGCTTCTTTTTCAGCAGCCGGTTGGACCCAATGGAGATGATAGTTCAGTGTTTTTCCAAAATCCAGTTTACATAGTGAGTCCACACATACACACACTCACACACAGGTGTACAGATTTAAACATGTCTATTTAAGACCCAACCATTGCACTCACACCTAACAAACAAGTAGCAAAAAAAGTAATAATTAGGGCTGTCTTGAAACCAGTTTTTCCTCAAACTGAGTAYAAGTACCTCAGTTTGAGTACTCGCCGATACCGAGTACTTACTGCAGCAGAACTTAAACATTACACACTACAATTTTAAAAGCATACTTCCCTTAGCACTGCTTCCTTATAGGCCTACAACACCTCTGACTGGATCACATACAGCATGATTTATACTGTTGCAACASTGAAGATTTAATTTAACTTGTTTAATGTTCATAAACATGCACCTGACAAACTTTCATTTGAAAAGTAAACTGTAATACATTCATCGGAGTATCAATACTGGCATTTGTATCAGTTCTGAGTATTGGGGCACTTTGTACAAGTATTTGTAAAACTGCAGGTGTCTGGCCTGTTACCAAGACCAGTATTGTTAGTGGGACACCACTAATTTGGGGCGCAACGATACAGAAAATTTACGATTCGGTTCGGTTTGATACTTTAGTCTCATGGTTCTATATACTGTATTTTCGATACAAAAAAAAGAGAAATTTCCATGCTCTTCTTGGCTTGTGATTTATTAAAATTAATTATGAGCATTTGTTTAACCTCAAAARTACAGTTTTTAAATTAAATTTTGCTGAAGCAGCAATTTTCTCAGTGGATCTTTGCTCAGCCGTGGTGTAGTCAAACTCAGATCCACTGAGCCTTCAACACAGCTTATCTTCAGAAGACAAGATGATAAAATAAATTTTAAAGATCTTTATAGTTCAATACATAGTGTGTATTGAACGGTTCGAGATACATGTTTTGTTGTGCCCCTATTAATATAAGAAATACAGGTAAATGCTCTATAAATACACTTACACTTCAGTACATCAGGGGCAGAGCTAGAGCAATGGCCAGGGTGGCAAGTGTCACCTCCGGTACCTGATGGGTCACCCCAGGTGCCACCCCCAAATAATTGACAAGTGGGTGGGGATCTTGGATTTTGTATATGTGTTTATATATTGTTCAAGATTTTTCTCTAATACTACTGTAATGAAGTATATTTTTAAACTGTACAGCCCTTTATAATTAGCATTAGCATTTGTAGTTAGCTTAATTTGGGATTGGCATGGACAATAGGCATTTGATCATTCTTAGCTATTCCACAACAAATTTAATCTCAATGGGCCTCATCAGGGGGTTCGTACGAAGGGTTCGTACGAACATGTCACGTCAGATTCAACAAACTCTTCTATCTTCAGGAAAAGTGTGTAAATGAGTTGCGTAATTTCCACCTGTACGTATCCAGCTGCTCGTGCACGCGAGAGGAGATTAGCATAATTACCACCCCAAAAACACCATATAAGGCTATGTTTCCTGCCTCAGATACAAGGAAGTGTTCATTCATGAAAATGACAGCGAAAACTAAAAATAGAAGAACTTTAAGAGTTCAGAGATTGAAGTCCGTCTGTCAGAGATCCATTTTTAGCAGGTCAGCTGTGGGATAAAAAGAGCTGCTAAAAGTATAAACAACTGTGTTAAATCATTTTCATTTATTCAGAAGACACACCGTTGCGCAC